AAAACCAGTGGAAACTTACAAAAAGCTTCAGGAACTTAAGAATCCTCTTGTGTGTGAGGATATACAGCGTGTTCCCGGTCAGCGGGTCGATTACAGGCAACCTGTGGATCTTGTGCCTCAGCAGAGACGACACCGCATCATACAAACTGAGATGTAACCAGAAAAAAAAAATCACCAAGTTATTCAAACCTATTATGTAATACATGTTTAGAAAAAAATTTATAATGTATGTTTCTTGCAAAAGAAAGTGCAAAAATAAGTTCAAAGAAAATAAAGTTTTGCAGTCATAAATATCATATTTAAACAATTTTTTGATTATACTTGAATGTCCAGTTAAGAACGATCACAATATTGATCACAATAATAAGAAAAATAATAATAATGATTGGACTTTACAGTAAAAACAATGCAGCGCTGCTACCAACCTGGCATTGGGAGATATGCAAACCAAAGGTTTGAAAGAGTCCTGAAGGTACACCTCTAAAATGAATACAAATACAAAAAAATAATTAATTACAATTAATAAAATAATAAATGTTGAAGTTTGAGTGATCATTAAAAGCTCTCACCTCTCCATGTTTCAATTTTGTGCTCTTCCAACTCGTATATCTGAACCTGAAATATAAAAACGTATAGGTTCAGTCACTGACGAAATGAATTAAAATGACATTAACAGTTCATGCTACAAAATTTGTGTTTAAAACACACAAAACCATCTCACCAACGGAGACTTGTAATAGCGATGAAGAATGTTAATGAAGTCTGTGATAGTTAGCATACCTGTGGGTTGGATTGGAAAAACACCACAGCGAAAAATTAACTATATTATAACATTTATTGTTGTTTTTTTTACATTTGTTTATCATTAATGTTACTTTCAGATGAAAAATTGCTCTTACCCACAAAGCACTGCTTCTTGCTGTCCCAAAGAGGAGCTGCTCTCACCCCATTTGAAACAAGCGCAAAGAACGCCTTCTTCACCTGAAGCATAGTTAAATATTCAATTAATTTCTGGAACCAGATAAAATGTGCATTTATGTAAATGTATTTGCTTCACCTGAAGCGACGTATCAAACACCACTAATTTGGAACTCGTGGGCACGAGGTCGTAACAGCGGTGCGACTTCATAAACCTGGTGTAAACATTTTGCTCTCGTTCTGAAGAAATTAAAGTGACTGCAATTAAGACTCTTCTGTAAAGTGGATCTGACTGAGGTAGGAATATATTTAACAAATCCTCTTACCTTCAATGATTGGATCCTTTTTGCCTTCAAGATCATCAATGCTTACTGGGATCTGAAAGAAGAAGGTCAATAGTCCAAGTTATTTTAGGTCAGGTCATTCTTTTTTTGCAGAAAGGTTAAGAGGTCATAAACTCAATGTTGTACCTGCAACAGATATATTTGTCAGTTTTATCAGACTATAGATATAAAATTAGATTCTGTCGGTTATTTAGTGCAGGTTGAAAACAAAATCTGCACTATCATCTTCATACAGCTACAAACTCAAAAATAAACAAAGCTGTGTGTGTTCAGGGTGTCTTATAACAAAAGTCAACCTTGAATTAGATAGTTATTTACACTGATGTCAGTGGGAGATCATGTTCTAAAGCAATAAGCTGACTATCTGAGACACCTGCTGCACAACAGAGCATTAAGCCAAACTGTAAAAATAAAACAAGGTAAAAAAATAAAAATAAAGAGGTTACAGCTAATTTCTGTCATATTTTTCCCAAAGACATTTACACTGGTTAAACATGTTTCATTTTGCATTATGTGTTTCAAATGGGGAAGTCATTATTGCAGCTGTGAACTACCGACAACTTCTATTCATACAATGTGTGATCATTGATCAACCAGTTTTAACAAAGTTATTTTTGAGACAATCATTTGAAGATTAAATGTCCATTCTCTGAATAGTTGTGTGTAAATTGTGTCCTTTCTTTGTTCATATCAGGTCAACACAGCTGGGAAAAATTATCTATTTTTGTGTCAATTATCGCTAAACATAACCAGTGTAGTGTGTGATCATGATAAGTTGTATGGGATTTTTCAATGTCAAGAGTTTAAAGTGCATATATATGTTTTCTCAGAGAAATTATTTAATTCTTCAACACTGCATGCAAATAAGTTTTATATAAATTTCTCTGGTTATCTGTTTTTGATGACCAGAGCTGATGAAGATTTTTCAGAATAAGATGTATAAGCTCACAATGATCAGCAGCAACTTTGTGATTATGGTAAACGGGTAAGGAAAACCTAAACAAATATTTGAGCAATATCTAATAATATCACAGTTGCGTGTTTTACTTTTACTATTTGTGACAATATTGCAAAAAGCAAAAAAAAAAAAAAGTTTTTAAATCACAAATTGCCAATTTATAGCTGTTTCCAAACACAAAGAAATGTTTAAAAACAGATTATGTCTCAAGCACAATTGGCATTTAGTAAATAGGTTCAATATAATTTTATTTATAAAGTACTTTAAACAACCAGTACAACTCAAGTTAAAAACAAAACACATTAAGACTCACAACCAGGATTCCCCCAGAAGACCTGCTCAGCCCAGTGCTTTGGGGCAGTTATCCAACCAGCCGTCATGTTTTCAAACTAAAATTTATTTTAAAGTTGACAGGAAATCTGAAAATATCTCTTCTTAATATGTGCTCTTGGAATACTAATCCCTAAATGCCAATTATAAAGTCTTAAGAAAAGGCAATCATTAAAAGAAGAGGAAAAAAAAAAATGTTTAGCCTGGTGGGGGCAGAAGTAAAGCCTGGTGGCCCGCCAGACTTATAATACTCTGGGGGAAACCCTGAATAAACTGGCATAAAAGTGACCTAAAACCAATAGGTAGACAGATACAGGACTTGATGGACACAGTTGACATCAAATTGTTTGATGTAACTTCGAAGATGAACTTGAGTTTAAAAAGTAAACATGATCAACACTTCTAAAGTAAACTCTTACTGAGTAAAAGCTTGACCAGGAAATCATAGGAAGAGGAAGAAAATAACAGTGGTGACTTGGAGCTTAAATAGCAATGAAGAGAAAGCCTAAAATACTATGATCTATCTGTTTTATACAGATCAACACATTATAATATTTTATGATCTAATGTGGTTGTATAACCCACCCATATATGAGCACACCTCAAGTTTTTAACTGTGCTGTTTCTGAATGAGAAACCAACTTTAAATAATACATTTGTGAAATAATCTACTGAAGAAAAAGGTTAAATTTAACCCTCCGTGATTCCAAATTATTTAAAAACATTTACTCTGCTCTCAAGCTGTAGTTTGCACTGCCTCCTTTTAGAAGAAGCTAAAAGCTAGAAGCTAAAAGAGAATCCCCAACCCAGCTGAACTATTGATCTTGTGTTAATGGTAAACGGACAGGCCGTCCGTCTGAGACCCATGTTCAGCGTTCAGTGGTCGGGTAGTTTAAAGAGATCAAACTCAGAGCAGATCCGGGATGACACATAAACACCACCTGTCTCAGAGTAAGACTTTGAGGGATGCAAGCTAGCATCACAAAAACACAGGCACTCAGCAAACTCGTAAAGAAATCGAGCTGCAGGCGAGTCAGTTGGCACATTTCAAAGTTCAATCCTAACCCCCCTCGGTTGTAAAAGCAACACTGTCGTTATTGAAGCTGTGGTCAGAGTAAATAACGAGACTTTTGTTCACCAGTACAGCTCTGCCGTTAGCTTGTTAGCTCGCTAGCGCCACAGCTGGCTTGACTTTTAAAAGCGGCAGCCGAGGTGACATTACATGACGGCTCAAGCTTTTAATGCACTTTATTTGCACCGTTTGAAACCAATGGATAATCATCACATTTTTTTGCTAAACGGTGGCCTCTGCCTTAAGCTTTCCTAATCAACCTCTAAGACAGAGATAACCCTAAAAACATATATGAAAAGCTTTCTAGCAGGTAGCTGACTTTAGCGTACTAATCAAAGTTTTATACTGAAGTTGATAGGCTGCTTTATAAGAGTTTCAGGAGGAGAAATAACAGCAAAGTTCATAACTTACACACTCCATGTTCCACCGGGTCTACAACTGATGGGATCTCGCAGACACGCAAACCTCCTTCCGCTGTGACGCAAAAGGAGCCGTTACCGTAATATCCGTGGTAATGGCGCAATCAGGCGGAATCACCGTAATAAATGTGTTAAACGCATTTCAGGACGGGATCAAATAAAAACATTAACATCCTCTTTTACATTAAGTTTTAATAGTAAATGTAATTGTGCGCAATAGAAAAAGTAAATGAAACAGAACTCAATATAATAGTTTATTTGTTCATCAATAATATTTACTTTTTGGAAGTGTAAAAAAAAACATTAAATTCATGTATCCGTTTTCTGTTTTGGATATACAAATATATAAGTATTGATCAAAATAATTATTTTATGACTGAATAACAAAAGAAATAATTATTTGATGACTGATTAATAAAATCAATCAGCAGGTAATTTTTCTGTCTTTGTAGGCTAGATGGGAAACACATTAATAAATTTGATAAAAACCTGGGTGATAAATGGCAGAATAATGAGAGCATATTTAAGGGATTATTTTTATTATTTGTAGCAGTCCTCAGTGTATGGATTTTTCCTGAAAGAAATAATTAATACATCCCTTATGACATTAAGTTTCAAGAACAAACTGAACAAAATCGGTCTTCAACCCATTGTCAAACAATAAACAAACATTTTGCCAGTAAAATTGGGATATTTCTGTATACATGACACAGTCTGCTCACTAGATAAACTACTAGCAGCTGTTTGCAGTAGAAAGTCCAGGACTTGAGTCAGGTGGTACCTGACTGTTGTGCTTGTAGCTGAGCTTGTATTTGCTTATTAAATACCTTTAGCTTAGACTGATGCAAATAAGTCCACATCCTTAATGTGACTTGTAAGAATACACAACTAATTTCACAGCCTCATGCATATCATAAATAAATGTTGGCATCTAAAAGAAGAAAAATCAGGGACATCCAACAAGTGACAGATTTGTTTATTTACAAAACAGTTTACAGCAAGATTTCTAAATTACCGTTGACCCACAGGGGAATATACTGGTGTTCAGGTGCACAACACCTGCACCTATGGTGTCAAGTCAAAGGAAAAAAAACAAACAAACAAAAAAACAAAACTTAAGAGCACCTTGAGTCAAGAAAAGGAAGCAGATGAAGGAGTTTGAACATCTGTAAGGCACAAGACACAGCATCACCAGCCTCTGCTCAACTATCATCAGTTATCCGCCATTTAACTATCTAGGCAAAGCATTTTATAAAGTTAGAAGTATTCACTACAGCTACAACACAAGGCTTTTGAGGATAAAACAAACAGAATTGCTGTACATTAGATTTCTGTAAGGCTACAGGTTTTGTAAAAACAAGCCAAAAAGAAAAGATTTCAAGTGTTTGACAGTGACCATTTGTCAGAAAGGCTACAGGCACTATGGTTGGGTTTTATCAAGCATGTTAAAGCCATCAACTTAAAATTCACTAAACTAACTCCGTGGCCACCTTCATAGTATTTTGCAATACTAAAATGCAAATCAAAAACTGAAATCTATGAATCCTTTTAGTTTTGATAATCTAAGAGTATACTCTGTGTAGAAAAACGGAAAGCAACGGCTCGAGTCGCTCCAGATATTTTCCAAAGTACCAAATCACATTCTAAGATTCTAGTTACACTGTATATAAAGGGCTTAACTTGTAATTAGAAAATATTTATTCCACCTACAAGTGCTGTCCATAACAGCCTTATCAGAATGAATGGGGAGGAATTATGCTATAGATATGAGCGTTGTGTATCCGCGTAGTGAAATATACAATAACAGATCGGTGTCATGACGACGCGTCATCATGAGTAAGAGGTACCTGAGGATGAGCAGATAAAAATTACAGTGAGAACTGAGAAACCCCAGTGAGATTTCTTTTCTTACAGAGTGCTGGTAGAATAGTGACCACATTTAAAGCAATGTGAACTGTGATTGCATTTCTGTCAAAAAGACCTGCTGAAATCATGGACCAGTCCTTGGAAATAATAATAATAATAAAAAATAAAAAAAAGAAGCACAATTATTCCCAGAATGCATTTGAACGTTAAAGTATCCAGTGAAGATGCTTCTTTGAGAGGTTAATCCTGCTCTAGGTATTTCTTTCTTTCCATGGTTACTATTACTGGGATCTAGTATCATTTGTTGGGCAGCTGCTTTGCTATGTAAATCAATCTTGAATTCTGAGGGGAGAACAAACGTTCCTCTGCTGCATCGATGAGGCCACCGTTAGCAAGCTGGTGAAGTTGTGCCTCATGTCTTCAGTAAATCAGCTCACTGGTGTCCTGCATAAAACTTTACATCACTGCACACTTCTTCTCCTCCGGAGGTGCATTCCCGTCAGCTTTCTCCATCTCCAAAATGATTCGCTTGAAAACCTCCACGGCAGTCTGCGTTTCAAGCAAGAGCCTTTGTCAGACATGAACAACGGATTAGCATCAAGGGTTGACTTTAAGGGTTTGTTACCTCGTTTTCTTTGGCGGAAGACTCCATAAATGCTGCTCCCCAGGAATCGGCTAGTTTTTTCCCCTCCTCTGGTTTGATAACCCTTGAAACAAATCAACAAAATGCACAGTGAAGTGAGCACATGTCATTGGTTCTTTGTTTCAAAAAGTGTCCTCGAAACCTTCCCATGACCGAATTCAATAAATAAATATAATATATAAATATAAATCCTTTTGGTTAATGATTTGTAACCCGAGTTCCAGTCAAACTACAACGCAATAACTTGAATTTGGCTAATTAAGCTAATGCCAGTTTTAAACATGTATAATTTCTACCAAAAAACATAGAATTCAATTTAACCTAGATGAATCTTACACCAGATTTCTTCACTTCAAAAAAAACGTTTGTTTCTTTTTTTTTCCATCAGCTGTACAAATCAAAACATTGTGAGATCTAGATTGAAACACAAGATATATTTAGTAGCAATTTTAAGCACATTTTCTAAAGTTCAAGCACTTTCAAAAACTTGAAAACACCAACAAATTTAAGTTTCAGGTGTCAGGATCTCTGTTCAGAGACTGTATGGCAGTTACTTAACTTAATAAATTAAATTCTGCCTTGTTAAAGTTAGCATTTTTCGATTAGCACATGATTTCAATATATTATTGCTACCACAAGATGGCAATAATGCATTTCTGTTTAAAGACTGTTGAGAAGAATCACACCACTGACCTTCGCATTGTCTAGGTTTCTAAAGATTGCTTCTTTAAGTGAGTTTTCACCACCAATTTAAGCTATTTCTCCTAATGATGAGTTTCAGCGTTTCTATGATTAACCAACCATAATGCATTCTGGATAAGCAATCATATAATCCAGGCATGTTATGAAATACTCCCACTTCAAAGTAGGAATGAAAACAGCTTCTATGAAAGCAGGAGAAGCAAATAACAATAGTTAAGCTGTAGCCTAAACCAAATAATCACATCAATACTCACCTTTCCATGTGAAGATCTTTTTTGTTTCCTACAAGAACAGTTGGAACCCTGAAAAGAAACATAGCTCAAGTTGCACAAATATACACTTTAAATTTTCTTAATTACAAAGAATTTAAGGGACTGATTGGACTTACTGAATCTTGCCAACCATGTCTAGCAGCTTGTCGTGTAGAACCTGCACAACTTCAAAACTGGACAGGGGACAGGCAGTGTTATTTTAAACATTGATCTGGAAGAATAATATTAACAACACTTCAACATTTGGATACAGGACTAACTAAATGGGAATCTTATGACATAAATTACTTCATGGTCTAATTCTAATTAACATGAGTTTTTGCTGCTTAGTTGTATGAAATGCTCTAACTGTGAGCATCATAGTTGTTTTGCAGCATTTGAAGCAACAGTGACACTAAACCAACAGTTTCCCTGAGTCTGAACTGTGGTTCAGCGTTTTAAAAATTAAATAGTAATACTAAACACTGACCTCTTCTAATTTGCACATCTATTAGATGCTTTTGGCTTTGATACTCTCCTGTATTTTTTATTCAGAGACCCAGTTTCCAGGATTTCCGATTAGAACTTAAAGCAAACATACGCAGAATGTCATTTTATTTAAGATAAAGTATCATTGATTTCTTTTGGGCCCGACAAAATCTTGTTTGATTTAGGAAATAAATATATTTATTTTTTATATATATAAATAAATATTTTTTAAAATACTATTTTGTCTTCTCGATGGACAGCTTATAAATAGCTAAACAACAAAACTCCAATCTGAGATGAACTAAAATTTAAACTTTACTCGTTATTGATGTGATTCAACAGTAAACACTGGATGAAACCCAAATAATTTCTGTCTTGAAACAGATCTAAGTCTTCTTAATGCAAAGTTTATTACTGAAATAAAAGTAACTGTCAAAGCCATCCACTGACCTTTTCATGGAAGTCACTGAATAGACCAGAACATAACCATGGATGTCCATTGAGTGGGATTGTGGAAAAATTGAGTACTCATCCTACAGAGGGAGAATAGGGATTTCCATTACATTTATAAATAAAAGTCTTGAAGATTTCAAAAACAACACTGCAAACAAAAGACAAGTAGGCCTATGAGTCAGAAATATTCAGTTTAAATCACTCAGGTCAGTTATGGCAACAACTAAGCAACTTACTTGTCCAGCCGTGTCGACTAGCTGCAAATTGAAGTCCTGACCTTTCACGTTCACCATTTTGTTAAACGCTTAAGAAAAAGAAGAGCAGTTTTTACAATTTTCACATTAAACCATAAAGAACTCTTGCAACTGAGCAAATATAAAAATCACTCACTGTTTTCAATGGTTGGGTCATAGGAGTCGACAAACTGTCCTTCAACAAACTGTATCGTAAGAGACGACTTCCCTGCATGAAGAGCACAGCAGACTTTTAAAAAACAAAACGATTGAATGATAATTGATGTTCATTCATGATTGATAATCAGCATTTAAATGCAAAATACAAAAAAATAACCTAATGACAGAAAAGAAAGAATTGGCAACTAGCTGCCAATTTTTAGGGTTTTTTTCCACCAAACAAAGTAGGCTGGATCTTTACGAAAGCGAGACTTAAAACTAAGTATTTGATTGAAATGTATGTCCTTATAAGCATCCAAGGTTTTTAAAAATTAAATGTCAATATCTAATTTAGTGTTCTTTCAACTTGTTGCAAAAAGCGCAGCGTTAATTAGAATTAAAGAGAACAAGGGCAGTCGGCCTGTCTTTACAGAAAATAGTGCAAAAATGTTGCAAAAGCTTTAGAAGTTGAACTGAGGAGTATTTTGGAGTTGTCTATTTTTCTGGTGGAAATTTTAGCAGTAGATTTTGTCATTTTCTCTACAGTGACATGGATTACAGTCAGGAATGTTGTCAGTGAAAAATGTCTCAATAGCCAGAAGAGCCGGTTTTGGCTCTTTGTCGATGAGACGATTTACTCAGAAAATTGCCGGTGTGTCAAACACAAGTCTAGCTTCAAATAGAAAAGAGCTGAAACACTGAGAAGCACTGAGATTTGAAATATTTTTACCTCTCACTAATCGACTCACCATATCTGGAGGCAAGATGAGCTCAGATCATAAAAACTCTGTTTTTCACACATCCACTTGTTTTAAATCTTCTGATTCTTACAGAGGATTCATTTTTGTTGCCATTAGCCAATTTATAAAGATCAACACGCATCTGCCTTACTTGAAGGACATATCCTCTCGTCTTGTGGCTAAATTGAATCAATGTGATCTGTAAAATAGACATGACCAAAACGCTGTACTGATTCCCAAAAGTGAGCTCAGAGTTCAGTCAGTCAAAAATTACTGTGTGGTATCTTGAGAGAATTTAATTATGTTCAACTACTTTGATATTGTGTCCACAAGTACATTTATGCCAGACTTGATAGAAAATATAAAACTGTCACTAACAACAGAACAAAAGGTGCCATCAGAATCCAGCGGCTGAATGAATACTTCCAGGGCGAACTGGGTGACCATGTGAAATGTAGCGTTGAGAACTTTGATGCTTCAGCCTGTCATAATAAATAATAGATCAATTAATGGCATGATAAATTTAAAGAAACTCAATAATATTCATTTGCTTGATTTATCAATTTTTTTCTAATTTTACCAAAAACTGAATGGTAAAAGTCTTCAGTCTGGTGTTTTAGTTGGAACTATCACTTTTTGTGAACCAACAGTTTCCCTGAGTCTGAACAGTGGTTCAGCGTTTTAAAAATAAAATAGTAATACTAAACACTGACCTCTTTTAATTTGCACATCTATTAGATGCTTTTGGCTTTGATACTCTCCTGTATTTTCTATTCAGAGACCCAGTTTTCAGGATTTCCGATTTTATGATTTACAAAGACTTCATGATTTGTTTTATTTGTTGTTGCTGTTGTTTTCTTTATTTTTCTTGGATATTCCAAATGTACTCCAGTTCTACTGTTTAAATGTTGATTAGAATTTCAAGTTTATTGATTTTTGAGAATGTGTTCTTCAATTTTTGTGTCATTATTACTACTGTAATAATGACACAAAAAATGTTCTCAAATCAACGTTATCATTTATCTCAATAGGTTCTGGGACAATTTATCATACCATAGTGACAGGCCTGTTGATATTATTTATCCCACACAAGTCCCAAATTTCACAAAGAATTGGAAGAAACTTCTAACGTCAAGATTTATCAATGTTATTGTAAAAGAAATGGAGAATGTTTTCTAAGTTATAGTTTTTATTGACGAAAATCAAAACAATACAAGCACTTTAACAAATTAACTGAACCACTACATCTGAAAATTAAAAAATTGGTGTAATTTCGGCCTTTAATGTTTTACTTTTTTTATTTTAACCCTGAATTATATCTTTGAGACTAAACTAAACACTGAAACTATCTTAACCATCACTTTAAAAAAAACATATGCTCTTTTAGTCTAATTGTTTATTTTGACATGCAAACAGAAAGCCATTTTAAAGATGAGGCTGAATGAAAGCTACTGGAGTGATGACAATCCTTATTTGATCAATGAAACACACGTGTATAAAAACTCGTTCAAAATTCACGGCTTTTGAAAACGTTTAACACTGGCGGGGGACACAATGGTTTGTTGTTCCGTTTTAGACTTGAGTGGGGTGTTAAAAGATAGTGCGTTGCAACCTTGTGCCTATTTAAACAGTAAACAAACATTTTCCGAGTTAAGCCCGAAACAGTGATGCAACAAAAGGACAAACATCGAGATATCAGTAAACAGAAACAGTTGGGATAAGATACGAACAGTGTTCGAAGGGTAGATACGTGAATTGGATGCTATGGTTGAAATTCTTAACGACAAGCTTCTTGGTAGCCGAATAACACCTGCTGAGCTAACATTTAGTGTCACACAAGGTAGCATATGGCAGAAAATACAGAGCTAATAGATTTTAGCTTTAATATTAGGAATATGAATACAGAAAGCATATATAAGCTTGTAGGCAAGACTTTAGTGCAGACAGGTAGATACACTCAAAAAGAAAACAAAGCCAGGATATTAGCATGTTAGCCTGCTAGCTCACTGACATCAGCTGTACTCACCTACGGACCGGTAACCTATGACCGCGATCTTTCTGTATTTTGGTTGAGGCATCGTGGTAAAAAAAAAATCTGCTGCACGGGTTCTGAAAAGGGTAATGCGCCGACAAGTTTCGCGATCTGGACAAACTTTTATCGCCACATTCGTCCCGCGTCACGTGACAACAACAAACTTTTCGGAGCTCTGCCCCGCTCGAGCTCTCCGAGCTGGGCCTCAAGCTGGGTTTTTCGCACTTTCACCGAACCAAAAACACCCTGCGCCGAACTCGAAGAGCTCCCAGGTTCTGTATCCGACTCGGACGTGAACACATACACGAGATTTGTAGCGGGAAACGAGGTCGTTCGAAACACAACCGTAAACACAAAAGGCGAGTTCAACGCGGTCGCGAGCTGCAAGTCAAACTGACGGAAATTGCCATTGTGTAAGCGCACCGTCGTAAAACCAGCCGATGAGTCAGAGAAATGACATGAACGGGCTTTCAGGCTTGTTTGTACAGTAGATGTCACTCTTTGGACGTCCCAGCAAGTTCCTGACAACTATCCTTTTTCAGACTGTTCCAGACAGACGCCAAACAACATCAAAGAACTCCTTTTTTTTTAGATTACAAATATTGAACTCAACTAAACTCATACTATAGAACACAAACATGAACACGTGTTTACTCAGTTGGCCTCCATGATAATGGAGTGTTTGGAAAGATAAGTTAGAAGACTACACATTAATCTGGAGGAAAAAAAATCAATTTTATTTATTTATTTTCCTTTTTCTTATAGTATGAAGGGAAGATTTTATTTGAATTGAAAATCTATTTCTGTGCCAGATGTTGCTATTTGCTAAAAGCACAGATAAATGTGTATAGTTTCACCAGTATGTTTCTAATGACAGGACCATTGACTAATTGATCCACTGATTATTGGAAGAGTGAACAATACCATTGGAAACATGCATAAAGTGATTGATTGCAACAATAAGAACTGTATACATACAGTAACATAAAAATTTAAGTAAAAAAGCATTGTATTGTAATTTAGATTTGGAAGCGATCTGTGTAATTTTCTATTAGTATTTTCTAACATAAATTTCCATCCAAATGTCAATATCTGCATATCACTATTGGGTCACATGGCAATGGCGTCTGTCTCCAGAGAAACTGAGACATCCTGGACATCATCAGTCAGGACAAAATTAAGTTCAATCTAAATCTGCCATTCCACCATATCTACTCAAACTTTTGTGACCACATTCCCATCATACATAATGCGGATGAAATAGTGGCCCACGAAACATTTGAACCACCAAATATCAAACACGATACGTTTGATATTTAACAATCCTATTTACACCAGTAGCAAGCAACATTTCAGACAAATTCTTTAAAGGATGCTCCCAAAAAACCACCAAAAAAATACACTTTTTTGAACTAAACAGACCTGGAGCTTCGCTTTTAATGGTTGTCTAATCTGAAACTTTACATATAAAAAACTAATAACGATCATAAGACTGTAAACATTTTTACTGAACCTTATTTCTCAATTTTAATTTCTAAAAGCAAGTGTGTAATATGTGATTTAAGTTTTGGTCTTCACTGTCTCATCAATCATCTTATATGCATTAAAAAATGGAGGTAACTGTCAATACCTGACTTCTCATTTTTCGAACAGGGCTAGTTTGAACAATGTTTTCCCTTAATAAATGAAATCATCATTTGAAAATGAAACTTTGTATTGAAGGTACAATAGTTATTTTTGTCTGACTTTAAAACTGGCTAGAAACAATTAAATGTGACCAAAGGGGAAAAAATGTAGAGGAAGCTCAAGATTACAGTGAGCAGTTGAAAGCATTCTGAATTTATGGCAAAACATTTTTTGCTGCCACAAACACTGATACATACAATCAAAAATAATTCCATTGGTATTTGAAATGTCATTTCTATCTAAAATTAAAATGTAAATTACAAAGAAAAAAAATCTTTTTCAAAACTGATCGTGATAGTAGAGAAACTATGAAATGTATATTTAAAAAGTGTACAAAGTCAATGATGACAGCCTTGCTCTGAAGCGACATGCCCAACGTGATCCGGAAGTTATCTCAACCTAGATAACTACTCTTCCGGTGAATATTGCCGTCATAAACAGGCAGATAAAAAATCCGATTTACCTCAATGAAACGGCCTTGACAGAGACAGGTAATATACCAAGTCTTTAAGAATCGGACAACCTTTGAGAGGCATTTATAGTCGTCAGTCTTCGCCGTGTCGAAACAGTCAAACCGCCAACCGACTCGCTGCAGCTGTTGGTGTGGCTGCGGCTGCGGCTGCCATAGCAACCGCTGAAGAAACACTGACAGGCTAACGGTTGTTTGTTGTGTTAGCCTCAAACATGACGTCGAGCCGAGTAGTGTGTTCAGTTTAGCGACATCTACCCAGTTAGTATCATAACGCAATGCCGCGTTCTGGCGCCGTTACTTCTATTTCTTACTAGCATCATTGTTCTTTTGAGTTTTATCAGGCTGCCGATGATGTCAGACTGTCCAACAGACGTCTTGCTGTTGAGTTCAGCTAACTTGGCAAACGGTAATTTCCATCCCATGCAGTAAGCTAACGTTAGCTGCCAAGGCCATAAACTTAGGTTACCTCATCCTCACCGTTATGTAAACGCTGACTTTCTGGTCCGTGATCGGATTAGTTAGACGCAAACAAATTCTGATATAGACTGTCTTAACTTTGAGCTCATTACGTTTTTTTGAAGTTGTCATTTGCTGAATTGTCTGCTTTGGTGAAGTTAGAAGTGGACCTCACCTAGCTGCCAGTAATCTACTTTAATGCGATTAATTGATCCACATAAACTAATCTACAAACATGATTGATTTGAAAGTGCATCCGTCAATCGTCGCACAGAAACTGTGTGCTTTAGGAGTGTTGTAGTTAAGTGCTAGAAAAGCCAGATTAGATCTGTCCTCTGTGTTTCTTTAACTCGCTGATCCGCGCCTGTCAATTGTAAAACGTATCTGTTTCCCTAATGCTTAAGTAGTGTTTGACATGCAATGATGTTCAGTGATTAATTATGTTTGAGGAAAAAAAAAACTCACCTTAACAAAATATAATTTCAGGATTCAGCTTGAACTAGTATGGATGTTGATGACTGTAATGGCAGATCCTATATTTCAGGTAAAGGTTTATTTAGTAGAAGCTGCCATGTTATTTAACACTGGCATGCTTGTTAAATGTGGGACTCCACAGTTATTATGCTTGTGGTTTTAGGTAGTGGGGAATCATCACTGGAAAGAGAGTTTTCTGGGGCCCTTGGAGGTCCAAATGTAAGCACCCCAAATAGCAAGGACAACTCTCCTAGACGGTCTCTAAGTGGTGAGTGAGAAGTTAAACTATTCTCGTTTACATGAGCATTTCAATAAACAAGATTGATTACCTAATGTCACGTTTCCTCTGTCTGATTTTTCACGTGCCTCTGCAGCCAACTCTATTAAAGTGGAGTTGTACAGTGACGAAGACGTAGGACGTGGTAATGAAGACGAAAGAATTGAGCGGATAGATGATGGAGGTTCAGGACAGGGATCAGAGTCTGGCGGAGGCTACAGAGAAGTCATGAACTCTGAAACCATGCCGCCTGGAGCCACCAGACTGCCGAACGGAAAGCTGAAGTGTGACATTTGTGGAATGATCTGCATCGGGCCTAATGTTCTCATGGTGCACAAACGCAGCCATACAGGTGACTAATGTGTTTAAACCATAAACATTTAAGTAAGAATTTCAAAAAAGCACATCATGTGTAAACAATTTAAGATATTTGCTGGATTTATACCGTTTTTAAAAGTATGGAGTCGTTGTTTTATTATATTTTTTTCTTTTTAAAGTGTGGGTAGGAATGTAAAAAAGTTTGGAGTTTCTAAACATGATTACTTGTTCTATTTTCTAAGAGAAAAAAAAATCAAATTTTCCAAAATGGAAGTGGTTTTTTCATTGAAGCCATATTGAATTAATGTCTTTCAATTTCGATTTGCTGCATTAGTGAAAAATTTAGCCTTCTCTATTCGGCTTTTCAAGTTTCAACGTGTGCTAACTTATTTTACAATTGACAGGGGAAAGACCATTTCAGTGCAACCAGTGTGGCGCCTCATTCACCCAAAAAGGTAACCTGCTCCGCCACATCAAGCTGCACTCAGGAGAGAAGCCGTTTAAATGTCCCTTTTGCAGCTATGCTTGTCGAAGAAGAGATGCCCTTACTGGACACTTACGCACTCATGCAGGTAGAAGACTTTAATACCTGATAAGTGTGCGTTGTTGTTTTCTTTCTTTCAATCAGTCTGCGTTATAACTGTTTTCCTCCTCTGCCTCTAGTGTCCTCTCCAACCATAGGGAAGCCATATAAATGCAGCTTTTGCGGCCGTAGTTATAAGCAGCAAAGCACCCTGGAGGAACACCAAGAGCGCTGTCATGGTTACCTACAAAGTCTGGAGTCCCAACCAACAAACAGTGCTCAAAATCTAGGTATAGTACTGGCATTCACTCCTCTTACAGAATGGTGACCGTAGAAACTCCTTCACAAGCTGATGACACAATCCTCCTTCCATAATTGCCTGAAACCCCAAAATGTGGTTTTAGATTCCACAGCAAACTAGGACTCACAAGAAACGCTGTCTGAGTTATGAGGAAACTTTAAAATAACGTAACAGTGTGTTTGTACTCTGTCCAGGAGAGGAGATGAGAGAGCTAGAGTTTGTACCAGACTCTCTTCTGCAGCCGTCCTCAGACAAGATGGCTTTTATCGATCGGCTCGCCAACAGCGTCACTAAACGCAAAAGATCCACACCACAAAAATTTGTAGGTGAGCAATTAGTCTCAGTGTGGACGGTTTTAGGGATTTAACAAAGCAATATTCGCTGCAAGTGTAAATCCAGGTAGTCAAATTTGCCTTTTTGATGGGATTGCCAGTCCTCTGTATTTATTCTCCAGGGGGTTGAAGTAGCTTCCAAATTCTGTTTCTGGTAGTCAAACGTATGTGCTCTAGGAAGGACTTTAGTGATTTAACTAAAGCAAAACAAATTTATATTTCTTTATTTATTCACATGTATATCGCATCCACGTAGTTGATATTGTAATGATGATTTCAATTTAATATATTGTGCAGCTCCACTTTAAAACCAACAACCTGAGATTTTATGATGGATCAACACAAAATTGCAAAACATTGTGAAGGGATGAGTCATTTAAGGATTTAAAGTACAACTGATTGACAATGGAATGGTTGAAGAGTAGTCTAGTCAAAGTTTGCACTTAAATACAATTGAAAATATGTAGCAGACTTTACAGTTGATGTTCATAGGCCTTCTCTATCCAGTCTGGCTGGCCTCGAGTTGTTTTGTAAAGAGGAATTGGCAAGAATTTCAGTCTTTGGCTGTGCTAATTGGAAGAAAGTCACTGGCATCTATCAGCGCAGCAAGAGGTGTTTACATAAAGCATGGTCTGAGGTGGGGTTAATACCAATGCACGCCGCACTTTTCTGATTTTTGTTTGAAAAAAAAGATAAAAACCTTGTGTATTCTTTTTCCCCTGCACAAATATGCCTTTGCTTGTTTTGGTCCATCACATCATCCAGCCAGGCAAAGTCATCCTTAAGGCTGTAATAAGAAACAATTAGGAACAAAAGTTTCTCAGGAAACTAAATGCTTTTGTAAAGCATTGCATAGAATGCACTGAAAGTTTCGGTAATAACTTATTTGATAGAACTGCATATTATATCAAGAGATTGTGTGTCTTTATGTTGCAGGACAGAAGCACATGCACCTCAACATTGGGGATGCACCTTACGACCTGACAGCTGGCTTGGATAAAGGCGAGGACGTGCAAGCCGGGGACCTGGAAGCCCCTCACTTCGCCAGCCTTGCAGAGTACACAGCAGGTAATGGAGGAGGATTATCAGATGCCATTAGGCCTCTCCACCTTCCTCCCACTCATCCATCCTTTTTTAAAGAACTCCGGCCGAGCCTCAGCTCTTCTCACACCTCCGTTGCTCTGGGCCCGAGGTTGGATTGCACTGGTGCCGGAGTTGGGCTTGGAGCGGTTGTTGTTGGGGGGAGGGAGGCAGCGGAGGGCCACGAAGACCTTCCTGCTGGCCGAAGTCACGCTCCGTCACCTAGCAATGGTTTCCAGGACTCCACAGACACGGAAAGCATGCCGGACGAGCCCTGCAACAGCACGGCCCCTGTCCCGACGTTGCCCAGTAACAACGGGCATCAGCTCCTTCACTCCAGCAACCACATTGCCAGACCTCCTCCCGCCTCACGCCACAGGAGCCGGGAGAGACGCAGCCCCAGCCGAGCCAAAGATCGGGAGCTGGAAAGAGAAGATGGAGGACACCCGGCGTTTCCGCCTCCCGCCCCGGCTCCGACTTCCAGCTCACCTACGGCACCTTCCTCTACCTCCAGGGAGACTTTCCGGGTCGTAGATGCAGAAGGGCGGGCCGTGCGGTCGTTCCGCTGCGAGCACTGCCGCGTGCTTTTCTTGGACCACGTCATGTTTACCATCCACATGGGCTGCCACGGTTTCCGACAGCCTTTCGAGTGCAACATCTGTGGCTACCGCAGCAAGGATAGATACGAATTTTCTTCACACATTGTTCGCGGCGAGCACATTACAGACTGAGGTTTAACCCCGACCGCCCTTCTGTTCACACAGAGCTTTCCCTCCCCCCCCCACTCAGACGAGGACCTGGCTTGGTTTGATCTGCACATGAGCTTGAAGGGGTCACCGACGCCGAGAAGCCGCTCCTGAATGTTTCAGATCCCGGCACAAAATGAAATTGTAGTAGGGTTTCTAGTTATTTTATGAGTCATTTAAGTATTTAAAGTACATTTTCATTAAAGGTGTTCCAAAGTGCAGAAGGAAGAAATGCATTCTTTTATCCACAGACGTGCCTTGCACCAAATTTCAGGATTCAAACTGCATGCACAAATTATGGTAGACAAATCCTCATCAGAATTAACCCGGGAAAGGCTATGGTGAAATCTTTAAAGAAATGAATTCTTCATTCCAAGTTGATGCTTTTTCTTTAACGTTTCTTTAATACTGGAGGAATCCTGTGCAGTCACTTTATTTTCTCCAAACCACGTCCATGTTGGCTAACGAAAAACATTGGAAGGGGTTGTCCTTTATATTATGTTAGAAATGCACTTTGGTTTTTACAAGAGGTGAAGTGAAGAGATTTGTGTTTGTATGTATTGGTGTGTGTGAGAGAACGACCCTGAACGGCCCTCAGTTTTGTTTTAAAAGTGAATAACGAAGGCCCTTGTTTTGTTTTGTTTTTTGTTTGTTGATGCCTTGAGGAATAATGTATGAATCTGTTTTCTTCTCTTGACTGTTTTGTTTGCACTGATACCTGCCAGAAATCTGATGATATTAAATTATTTTATAGAAATATATTCATGTTCTGCACCTCTCTGAAAAATAATGTGAGGAAAAAGCGTCTGAAAGGCTGAAAGGGGTTGAGTTATCACTGCCAGAGTTTGAGTTCAGAACTTCCCTTTGAAACATAAATTAAGACCTGATCCAACACTAATATATAACAAATCTATTTATGATGTATTTAAGATGAGTTTGATGTTCTGTCATTGTATTGTGCCTTTTGACTTGTTCCCCAGGCTGGAAACGCCAGACTCAAGTTACAGAATGATTTAAACACTTGCGTTCTGATTTTTGTTCATATTTCATGCATTGTAGATTCTCTGTGGCTTTTTCAGCAAATGTTTACCCTGTTTAGCAAAACTTAACCAGATATCCTGTTATGAAAGTTGGAAGATTTCAGGTTAGGGTTGTTGGACCTTTTAGTGGTTAAAGCACAATCTTCTGTCCAGAAGGCAGTTTGAATCCAGAGTTAACAGGAATGATTGACATCACTTACAACAAAGAGTTTTGAAAAATGTTCTTAAAATTCAAGACTGACTCAGGCCTCAACCTTGTGATCATGGTTCAAGTCTTTTCCCTTGTCAGTTTTTCATTCATTAGTTTTGTTATGTCCAGGTTCAAACAATGTTGCTTTTCTAAAATGAATTAAATTGAGCCCACTCAGCCACTTTATGCTCTATGAATATTAGTGGTTGTGCCAGTGTTGTGAAGTTCCTGTTTTGTCTTACTGATCCCAGTTCATTGATTCTTGCAGTTTTAACAGTTGTTTAGATATGCAGACGTTCTGAAATATAAAATGTTTGAAAAATAACGGTTTAAGGCAACGTGTTTGTTTGGTATTAGTGTGGTTCAGTACAGCACCAAATAATTTCCCCATAGCTGGGCCAAAGAACCACTTGTTTGCTACTGTAAAGCACTTTTCCTTGGTTATAGCAGCGAGAGGAAAATTCAGACATTTGTACATTTGGGAAAAGGCTGTTTATTGCTGTTATTAAAGGCTTTTGGACATTATAATCCTCATCTCCACTTTATTTTGTGGAAGCTCTTTCAAACTTTGTGACGTAAACAAATACCTCATTTAATCTGGAAGGAAAGTTTTAACTGAGCACATATCTGCTAAAACAGACTTGAGTCACATTGCACTTTAATATTTCAAAGTCTAAATTCACATTAATTTTTCTTTTTGACAGGAAAAACAATTCCCAGTCTTCAGCAGTGAACAATATCCTGCCTTCCTGAGGATAGTGTTGTGTGCAGAAGAGGTTTTCTGAAATTTATAGATTCCTGCAGTTTATTTAGACACCTAGTGACCTCATTAAGAATGTTGACTTTAAAGCGTTCATCTTAAATATTTATACAGCAAAAGCATTTAATCCCGAGGTCTCCCTTTGCGTTTTCATTTCAGCCCCCCGTGTAAAACTTAATAAATGTTGTGCCTTTAGTTGGAAGTCTTATTTTTCTAACCGCTGTCTTTTATACGCAAAGTGTCATTTTGGTCCAGATTAATTATCCCAAACTGATCAGATCCAGTTTCTAAACTACTGGCTTATTTATTGCTTCATTGCCTCTTATTTATATTTTTTGATCCCATAAAAAAAACCAAAAGAATCGTCTTGGCTCTCAAATTTACAATGCGTCATATTGACCCACTAAAGGCGCAAGTTTGATCCCTCACATCATACCAAAGCTATTTGTTCCTGAGCAAACCCAAAAACGTTCTAGATAAATCACTAATAAACACACCAATCCAAGTTATTATATTTACTAAACTACAGTGATATTTGTGACGCTTCTTTAATGTTTAACTTAATCTTTTTCCTCTCAATATTGCTTTAAATAACTACAGCTTTTTAAATGTATCATTATGTACTTTTGCATTTGCTTTACTCAATCTGAACTTGCTGTAAGTTTTGTACTGTAAGCATCTACCCTAAATAAAATCTAATTTGTGTTTCCTAGAAAAACAAAAGACTGAGTTTCACTGATTCAAGTTTTGTAAAGATGTTTTAATTTTCTTTTTCAGGAACACAGCATCTTCAGATTTCACTTTACATTGGTTTTGGAGGAGCTCTTGGTGCACCAGCCTGTAAAGAAAAACAAAACCAGAAATGTTAACACAAGGACCTGCTACAAACATCTTGTGAGCTCATCTCAACAGTTACTTCAGTCTAAATCTGGAAGCCAGCTTATTCCAGAGCCAGTCAGATTTATAAAGTCTGGCAAAAAACTCACAGCGGGCCTGAATCTTGGTGGTGGGGTTCGGTCCTTCCTGGCCTCACAGGAGCGGTTCCTCACCACTTTGCTGTGGATGGCACAGCTGACACAGTAGTGCAGCTTCACGTAGAGCTTCGGCAGAACATAAGCTGCAAAGTGAAGAATGACATCAGTATAAAAATACAAAAAAAATATATTTTTATAAATTTTTTGTAGCTGTCAGGTTATGGCTGTTAAATGTCACTCATTAGTACACAAATCAAGAAATCTGATCTTTCAACTTAACATTTTAAAACCTCAAGTGTAGCTTTTATCAAACATTTTAATACCTATTTTCTGTCTAATATGACCCATGTAAACTCCTCCCCCCCCCTTTTTTTTTTTAAAGCCAATTCCGTACTCTTAATCCATTGCTGAAATTTTAGGTGTTTTGTTTGAGAGGACACTTACAGTCGAAGACGCTGGCGTCTGAGATGTCTCTCACAGCCGCTGCCTCCACAATGTTCCTGATGACAAACTTTTTAATGGCCTTGTCCTTGGGGACGCAGCGGGCGCAGTTTGTGCAGCGGATGGGCTGCACGTGTCCACGGCCCTTCTTGGCACGACCGTTGTTTCTCCTCTTCTTGGTCTGTATCACACAGAGCCAGAGTTAAAAAAACAACAACACACACATTTGACAATAAAGCAAAATAATAAACTGAAATTTTCTAGTTTCTGTACATAACACACCAATATGAACAATGTCCACATTTCTTCGTCTGGAGAAGAAATGTGGAGAATAATGAGATATTATCTTCTTATTAGTAGACAATAATATGTTAGAAGATATTATAATCTTCTAATAATATTAGAAGATTATTCTAATATTCTATTATTATTAGAGTAATCTAATAATATAGATTATTCAATAACACTTTCACATGCCATCTCTTCATTCAATGATGTGTTGTGAAATATGAGTTTGTACATACATTCTTGGTAGTAATGTTAGTTAAGAGGACTGCTACAACTCAATTTACTGACAATATCTGAAAGGGCAGGATAATCCAAAATTGTAACATTTCATAACATCTAAAGGTTTTGAAATTCAGCCTGTTTTGGTATTTTATCACAAGTTTCAAGGAGCATATTACCCCAGAATATCCGCTTTCAAAGCTCTGTAGCCGTCTTTATAAGACTCCAAACAGAAATCTTCATATCAAATATTTTTTTAAGTTTTTGTTCCTACGTACAATCATAAATAACTACTGCGTATCTATTGCAAATAAACTAAATGCTTAAGGTTACCTCCCTGCACAGACAATAGCACATCTCTCTTTGACGGCTTCAAACTTACATTGTGTTTGAAACCTTGAGATATAAATGTGTAGTACAACACTAGGGAAGGCAAACGAGGTCATTGTGAACCTCCAAAAACAGAGAGCTGTGTTGAATTAAAACAGATTATTAGGGCTAAAACGTTTTATCAAGGATGCGGTAGGTTAGCCGGCCGGGTTAGCTTCGGGGCTTTGAACCTCTAGCTGCCAAAAGAGACATTTTTACATCCATGTTTTGTAAATGTAGCGTTTTAATGAACAAATGCTCTTGAGAATCAAATTTTTTGAGCCATATTTATGTCGCTGCAGCTCGTCTCAGTTTACGTTAGCGGCTGCGTTAGCCAGCCCAACGAACACATGCACCAAACGGCTAGCCTGCTAACGGTTAGCATTAGGCCCCGACTCTTTTATCACACGTTCTGATAGATATTAACCGCCTGTTCAACGTGTCGCATATTCGTTATGTGTTTGAAAATGCTTAAATGTGTTCGGAGCGCCACAGAGACCGATTAAAATACGAGTTTATTGTGTTTGTGGGAAGCCGCCGTCGGTAGCACACACTCACCATGTTGCACGGGAAGCTGGAAAGAGGACCGGAAGAGGCTGCACGGCGACACAAGAACGCTCGCGCTCCGCCCTCTGACTGATTTAACCCTGGAGTCAAACCTGCCGCCTGCAGAAGATGTTTAAAATAAAAATATCTCACATATCATCTCATGATTACGTGTATTTATGTCTATATGTAAGATTAATTCTTAGGCTGTTCTTAATCTTGTTTTGCAAGATTAAGAACCAATGTCGAAGTCAGGAGAAAAAGACAAAAAAAAAAAAATTATTTGAGTCCTGTTTTATTGTTAATGTCTTCCAATAAAAACCAAAAATAGAATGTGGGACAACCGTTGGGGTCTTCTCACCTCACCTTAAGAGGGTGAGACACTCTGAAAATCTGAAAACATAAAATGCTTCTTAATCTGAGTTTTCTAGTGGACTTCTAAAGATTTTAACAAAACTCCCCTCTCCCTTTGAAAAGCAGTAATCCCAGAGAATGGTACTGTAATGTGGATGTGATATTCTTTTGCTGACACTTTGTGTTTTTTTTTTTGTTTTTGTTTTTGTTTTTTTTGTTTGTTTATTTCTGACTAGTTTCAGGCCCAAAACGTCCAATTTGATATCAACATAAATAATAAATAAATAAAACTTACCCAGCTCTAGATTTCTCTGCAAGACGAGGATCTTGTTTTGCAATTCTTCCTTCAACCCTAGCCTGGCATTTTCTTGAAGACGACCATTTATCCAAGCATTACATATTATACTTCTGTGAACAAGGGTATATTCTTATCCTGACTCATCACCTTTTGTCCAAACAGATTATTTTGATCCTTTTAAACCTCTTTGTGAACTCTGGCTTTAGCTAAATGCTCCAAATGTCAGAAAATCCTTCTCAGACAGGGTGTGAACCATGAGGCAACCAGGTTGTTGCAGCTTTTTATTCACTTTGAAAGTGATTTTTCTTAAAGATTTTGTGGTTAAGGGTTTTCTTTTTACAGAACATAGTGCTGTGACAAAGTATTGCTTCTGTTCAGAATTTTTTTAAATTATTTTTGTTCTGTTTGTATTTCTTTTTTATGATAATCAAACTGATTTTAATATCAGGCTGCAAAAAAAAAAAAAACAATTTAAGGAACAATGCTAACTTTGACTAGACCACTCCAAAACCATTAAGTTTGTGATGAACTTTCTGTTGTACTTTTGATCATCGTTTTGCTGCATTTTTGCCTCAAAACCAGGTTGAGGTTAAAGTCACAAACTGATGGCTGCACATTCACCATCAGGTGTTGATAAGGAAGAACAGAGTTCATGGTTCCAACAGGAACCAAAGCAGTCCCTGATCACCATTCTGCCACAGCTGTGTTTGACTGTAGAATGACATTCTTTTATAAAATGGTTAGTTTTACAGCAGAAGTAAAGGGATGAGGTTTCCACCTTCTTTTTGTCAGACAACAGACTGTTTCCCATAATATCTTGGGAAAACATTTTTGACATAGTTTTTAAAGGATATTGTTTTTTTCCACAAAGTGCTTACAAAACTGTGTTCTGTATGAAATAAGCAAAAAACAACAAAGTCCTTGAAAAAGTTTATTTAAATTAAATTCTCTGCCAGGACCTCATTTCTTTTTGCTCTTCTTATCTTTGGACTTCTTTTTGCTGGCCTTCTGGGCGTTGGCCTTCTTGTAGAGGTAAAGCCCCACCAGGCCGAGCAGCGTGGGCACCAGGGCAAAACACACCAGTGGGAAAACGTCGTTGATGATTTTCTGCCACGGCTCCTGCGGTGTCAGAGAAATCACCTCCACCTCGAACTCAAGCGTAGCGTCACCTGCGACAGATGCAGTATTTTGCTGTCATTCACCATGTATGTCCAGAGAAGTGACTTAATAAAATACTTTTTATTTGCCATTGTTTGGTCTGGGTACCTGGAATTGTAGGAGGGTATCCTTTTTTTCCATATGCAAGGCGAGAAGGAATGGTGGCTTTTATTTTTTGCCTGAAGACGGGAAAACAAATTTGTTTCTGAAAAATCATTTGACACATTTATGAAGTGTTTTCTTCTGTTTTTGACAAAATCGCCTGTGGGATTTACCCTTCACAAACACCAATCAAGCTTTGCTCCAGACCTGTAAGGAAAGTCACACGACACGGACTATAAGGAAATAAAAGATCTCAATAAAGTGTCCCTGATGCTTCAGGAAAGTTGCATTAATAATATTCTCATTATTTGTTCATTTACCAGCAATAACTGTCCTTTTCCCCAACACGAGAACAAGAGGATCTTTGGACAGCGAGGAGTCAATCAGCTGCCCATCCATCAGCTTTCCCTGAGCAACCAGAGAAACAGGAGCAAGAGTGAGAAAGAGGAAAACTAAGATTTCACAGTTGATGGCTGTTGCTTTTTTACCTCGCACCAACATATGTAATCAGTTAAGGTGTTGCAATTAATTGTAACAGAATATATGAATAACCCTAAATGTAAAACAAAAATGACATGCGAAGCAGATTTTTTGGTCCAATTACTTTTGATAATAAGAGATCATTTGGCATTTTTCTTACTAACATATGTGAGATTAAAAAGAGACATCAGTGAGCTTTAGACCCGATGTGTGGTTATCTTAAAGGTTTTTAGCAAAAATCACATTATTCATACCTTATTCAGTATTTATGGTAATACTAATAATTATTGTTGATGACAACAATCATTGTTATCACAACTATTATGCCTATTAATAATAATAATAATAAAATATTATTACTATTAGACGTTAAAAAAAATAACAATAATAATAATAATTGCAGCTATTGCAGCAATAGATATGTACTAAAATTAAAATTCAACTTATGAACATTAATGGAAATTCCAACCTCCAGCTCACAATTTAATAATTAAAAAAAGAAAGTAAATTAGTATCGTCTAAATTTTGGGGGAGATTTGATTGACTTCTTTAGTTTCCTTTTTTCTCAATTTTATAATAATCTATGTCATCTGCATTATTAAGGGAAAATAAATGCATAATATTAAATAGCACAGAACCATATGGAGTATTTTTCACCAACGTGCTAATTTCCACTAACGTCTCACCCATGACAGCGCCACCATGGTAGGCTCGAAACTATATTTTATTGAAATCTTTCATTTAAGTTTGTTTTTTTGTGGTGGGAAAAAATACACATAGGGCCTACCTCATATGCCAATATCTTAGATGTAAATGGAAGTTATTTATTACCAGATTTTTATGCTCTAAAATCCATTCGGGTTTTAAATGCCAGGAAAAAGAACCGTTCAGATTCTGAACGGTTTTATGAACAATTAACCTGAGAAACTAACGGAAAACAAAATGTTGCTTTAAAGCGACGGTTCAGAGCCACTGAACATTATAAATCGCCGCCATCATTTTCATATTCCTGCTATAATAAAAACGGGCGCGACGTCCAGCCGGGCTGGTGTTATGCTGACGTGTTGCACCGCCCCTGTGTGCCTCGTAGTAACAATCCAAGGAGTCGAATCGGTTCCCGTGTAAAGCCGCGTGAAACGCGGACGCGTAAAACCGCATCGTGTCCAAAGTGCGAGTCTGATGGCCTCTAAATCCCATCAGAGCCTGAGGCTTTTTTTTTTTTAATGATCGCTCAGTTTGTGTGGAAATGCAGCGGGATCCACATGGTTCAGGCGGACGGTGCCACATAGACAACATCTGCCCTCGTCATCAGCTGGGCTCGTCTCTGCCGTTGTTTGTAAAAAAAAAATGTAATAAAATAGGTTCCTTGCCCAAATACAGACGAGCTCGCTGCTTTATGGGGTAAATAAGAACTGAGGGATTGACTTACTGTGTAGTGGACTTGCAGCGTGTCTCCCATCGTGGAGAGCACTGAACAAGTTTCTGGTTTCACCTACAGCGAGAAGAGTTCAGAAACTCTTTATTATTTTTTTTTTGTTCCAGGCTGTAGCGTTGGAGCATTTCCTGCCGCTGCACTGTGATACTCACCAGCGTCTCGACCTGCAGCTCCTCCGTTTCGCTTTCGTCAACCTGTGCGAGTGCACAGGAGAAAACAGCGAGCAGCAGGACAAAAACCCGTGCCTTCATTGTGAACTTGTGGAGAAGAGCCGCTGCCATCCACTAACTTCCGTCTGGCTTCTTCTGCACCCAGCAGAGCGGACAGAGAGAGAGAGAGAAAGAGAGAGGGAGAGAGAGAGAGAATATCGAGCTGCACCACCTGTTTGGACGATAAGTGCGTCCAAAATAGCTCGGCGGCAGGTAGTGCTGAGGTGTTGTAACACTGTGGTGATTAGCCACCCGTGGACGTTGTCCCAACACCTGGGTCTCTCCACGAAGAGCCCGCCTTGAAAATTCCTCCAGCAGCATCCCATCCGCCTGCAGTGGGAGGGAAGCGGAAGAATTACTCCGCGCAGCCGCTAGGGGGCAGCGGCGCTCTGCTTCAGTGCTGGTCTCACTTCGACTGGTGGGAATTCCGAAACCTTCTTGGGATTCACACCACTTGGCTGAGTTCAGAAGAAAGAGCGTGACCTTTCGGAGACTCCTGTCTGTTTCACACACCTGATTGAAATGAACACGTCATGAGCAGGCTCCAGCAAGTATTAGTGAATGGGTTAAGACCACCAAGAAAATGTTGGAAACCACAGTTACGGTCATGAACAGAACCAGCAGTTCTGGTTCTGTTGTTTGACTGGTTCGAGCTTCCCTGTTTTGACATCCGCAGTCCTCTCAAATTGGACCGCAGTCAGGGGAGGATCCGAGTTCTGTTTTAAATATATACATTTCTGATTAAAAATGAGACTGGCATCTCTCAAAAGATAATGTAAAAGTTTAAGAAAAATAACTTGTATTTTAAACAAATAGAATATTGAAAATCATTTATATTCTTCCCAGTAGCCAATGCATTCAGTCAAATGATACCTATAACTGCTGCCCAGATTTTTGCATGGTTCTACGGGTATTTTGATGATGTATCTTTGATAACGACCTCCAAATTTTGGAGGTTGGCAGGACTATTTGTCATTACCTTAATGTTTTGTTCCCTTCACAGATTCAAGTTGAGACTAGCTGGACCACTTCAAAATGATAACAGAACCTACAGACAAGAAAAACACATTAATAAAATAAAAAAGGACTACTTTAAACCTAAACCTGCTGGGGGTATCAATAATTTTTGCCTAGTCAAAGTCCAGATATCAATCCAACTGAGAATATAGAGCAATACTTACAAACTGATCTTTAAAGACACTTCTGAAAATTAATTGCATCACTAGATTCAAAACAAAAATGAGAAACTGAGTTTTATGAAAGTCAATGTTTCATCATAGTTACTTAAAAAATGATTATTTGCCTGTAAAGTCTACCTAACTTAGAACTTAATCACAGGAACTAGTTGGATTTTGTACAGAGAGAAATATTTTTTGCTAGCAGAATGCAACATGCAAAAGTTATTGTTGTAAACACAGCCATTCTACAGCTCTTCTGGCACAGACTCTGCAAGTCATTCGTTTGCAAATGTTTCACCGTCTTAATAAGAAATTATGCTTACTGAAAAAGATGTAACAAGACTTCTTAGTAAATTCTTGGGGGGAAAAATGACACTTTTGCATCTTTTCAACATTAAACTTTTTAAGAATCAAAAAATTTTATTAAACATTAAGCATGGACTGTTCTCACAGACTAGGGACATTCTGGAAACTGCTAATGATGACGAGTTTTCTTCACCTATGACTCACATATCAAGTATCTGCACCTTCCTGCCAGGGAGCACTTGTTACCAGGTAGCCAAATGTCAACAAGTAACACATAAAAAAACATGAATTACAATTTAACTTGAAGTCCCTTCAATGCTTGCAGATCCATTTATGAACTGCAATAGTATGAATGTTCTTCTGAAAGAAATCCCGACTAATCCCACATATGTTAGGTTCTCCATCGCTCATGTGGTTATTATGGAGTTCCTACACGTTCATACATTTTAGCTTAATATCATATTTGACATCTTATAGAATACTGGACCTTCAAACCTGAGTCAGTTTTACTTTTAGCACATCTAATCAAAAAGACCCTAGAACATACAACATTTGTCTCTGGAACTGTTTTTTCTGATAAATCGTAAAAGGCAAAAACTTTTGAGTCTGTGCCAGCAGTTTGAAAAAAAAGAATCATTAAATTTTTCCTGTTGCATTTAAGTACCAAAATGAACCTAAACATTAAAGGTTGTGCTTCCATGAAACAATTTAACAAAAGAAATGTGCAAGAGGGATTTCCTTCCAAACAAACAGAGACTTACTCTTATTTAAACATGTCTGACTAACCAGACAATCTGAAAACAGTGTGCTGCAAGATACAAACTCATGACTCATCCACGTGCCAGACAGATAAAACCCACTTCCCCCATCAAACCACAGTCCTACTCAGAAGTATGCAGGTAGAGCTACTTGTTTATATTTTAGATCTATGATCTGATTCAATTGCTACATTTACATGTGCATCAGTTAACAATAGGAAATATATTATGCCACAGATTATGCAGATTATGTGACCTGCAGCTTTGTCTATTTTAAACTGTTCAAACCCTCCTTCATGCAGTTTCTCATTGTCATATTTCACAATTCTACAGCAATAATTTAAATGGCTTTAAGGACAGAGTAATTCTCCTGGTTGTTGCTACATTTTGTAGCAATAACCCCAGAAGTACATCTATAACAATTACTCCAGTAAAAGTCAAATATAAGGTGTATTATAGTTCAATTCTTTTTCTTTTTTCAAAATGTTGTCTAAGTAAATGTAACCAAGTAAATAGTTACTATCCATCTGTGGACATTATCACAAAAAAAGCAAACTTACTCAATTATAATGCTAATGTTTCTAATAAACGAACATATAAACATAATTTATAGTTCATCCCTTGAAAAAAAAATCCCACTAGCGCCGCTTAAGTTTAAATATCGCGAGTTTTCGTGCGTTGCCGAGTTGTTCTCCGTGAGATCTCGTGAGACCTTCCAGTAGTGGACTGCAAGGCTAAGGTAAGCGAGGACACCGACCGCACCATCAACACGGCACGTATCACGTAGGTTCCGACAGGTGACCGAGTTACACGGGGGAATGTGTCGCTCCGGCGGCGGCCGCGCTGCCTCGGAGCCGCCCGGTCTCAGGGCATCAGCGGGCGGCTCGCTGAGGCGGGATGCCCTCCGAGGTGATGAGCGGCGGGAGGTGGGGAGGGATGGATAAACGGATGAATGGGGAGGATCGAGACGGCTCAGACGCTAGCAACCGCCGCATCCAAACGTGTCTGTTAAAAAAAGTTTATAAAATTGATATGATTTAGTGTGATTTAGCTCACAGCGTTCGGGAGCCATGTGTGGGGAAATGTAACGGTTCTGAGGCTGCTAACGGGCGCAGACAGGACGGCTGTGACGTTACCTAACGTAGCATCCCGGGCTAACCTGACACACCGGAGCTGGGGGTGGGGAAGGGGCATCGTCAGGCCCTGCCTGCTGCCCTGACTTACCTCCCTCCATGCGGGGATAAAAGCTGAGAGGGGAGCTGGAGTCAGGCTGTGATCAGGTGCTCTGTCTCCTCTTTAGCACCATGGACAGGGCTGCAGAATGTTTCCTGTTGCTATTATCTCAGCAAACTGAGCAGCAGCAGTATCTGCTTCTAGTAGCATCTGTTTGATCAAATTGTGAGCAACTCTAGCCATTGCCACACAGATGCAATTATTATCATGTACGTCATCGATGAATTTAGTTCAGAAAGAACAATCTTCTTTACAACATTCAATTTGTGTGAAATCCTTCAGATAAAAGTTGCTTCTGCTGCTCGTTATGTAGTTTTTTAAAATCTAACTCGATATTAATAATTTAAGATAATTTAATATCTTCCAAATATGCTTAACTATAAGAAAAAAAATAGTGTGGAAAATAGGTACTTCTTTCATTTTTTTTGTCTAAAACATCCATCCATTCAGAAATCCATCTATGCATTCTAATAAAATCTGACATAAATTAATTATGAACTTTTGTTCACTAGGGTTTCCCCCAGTGTATTCTAAGCCTGGCAGGCCACCAGGCTTTACTTGTGCCCTCACCAGGCTAAGCATTGCTTATTTATTTAAGTCTTTTTAAAATGTTTGCGTTTTTTAAGGCTTTATAGTTGGTGTTCAAGTGTTAATCTTCCAATATTTCAACAACACATAATTATCAGTGGTATTTTCAATTTTCCATGTCAACTTTAAACGTTTTTTTTTTTTATTTAAAAGCACGTCAGGCCGCTGGACGAATGACTGCTCCAGGACCCAGCCACGGGGCTTCGCGAGTTTTATTGTGTGTCTTCAGGCCTTTAGCTACGGCAGGATCTGGTGACATGGTGCCTGGCTCATGTTTTAAACGCGTCCTAGTGAGGCCTGATAATGTAGGACATGCTGCATGTGCTCTGAGGGGTTGGCGTGGTTGCAGGCTTACATGTGAAGGAGAAGGAAAGGCTGTGGAAGGAGTCTGAACAGATTGTGCTGCTGCCTGGAGTCATGGCGCAGACATGCATCTCTGTCACCTTCTGATGCCGACTGTCGCCGCGCAACAGCGCGCCGCACCTGTTCAGTGCAGGGTCGTAGTTTACTTCACTGTTCACTTTATTCACTTATTTAAAAGAGACATCAATCAATAATCGGCAGAGTTGAACCTGTAAATGTGTGTGAGTGTCATCTCCATTTGCAGAAACCAGGAGGTTAACTAAACAAAAAAAAAGATTAATATATTAAATAACATGATTTGCTAACTTACACTTGATGAACATGTAATAAACAAGTTAAAATTAATAACATACTCATTCATCTACAAACACTGTTGTTAGGTATTTTCCTCGAACCTAAAATAAAATAACCACAGACAACGTATATGAATTAAATATGGTCAGGCTTCTGCAGAAGGAGAAATCCCGATCAACAGCTCCTCCGGGCTGGTCAAAAGAGAGTTCTGATCTGCTTTCACGTGAGCTCCCTCTTTATTGTCAAAGAACATCAAACAACAGAGGTCGTAAAACATTTAACACAAACAGACCAACAACTCAGTTCCAGGTGTGATATCTAATTTACAATCTGAGCCCAGTTCAGCTCTGGGTCAAACTGTCACCTAAGACTGGGTAGATAAACACCAGAGAAAACTTTAGGTCTGAGAACCATAAAGTTTACTATCTCGCATGAAGACAGTCGTAACCTCCAGGTCAGCCCATACACACATAAGGAAGAGAACACTTTAACAAAATGATAATATCAAAAAATCTCTAACAACTGTTTCATAGATTTAGGATGTGAAGTTCTTTACGTGTTGCTCCATGTATGAACTGTCCTATAAGAGATTCTGACTGCCAAAGGAACTTATCCTTACCCGATTGTCCTACAATTTGTAGGATTTGTAGGATGCATATATATGATAAATGCAGATATCATATGCAGATATGATATCAGCATATTTTATCCATTTTTACTAAGATATAAATGAATGTATACTTAAAAACATGCAGTCAAGGAATGGCTTTGACTTTCATAGCCAATATTTTCAAACCCTTCTTGCGTATGTTTAACCCATCATACAACCCATTACATAATGTGTAAAAATAATTTAGAGGAGCCAACGTAGAAACTTATGGTACACCAACATTGCTATTGATCTTTATAGTTGGCAACTCTTTTGTAGCTTCTTTTGATCGTTTGAAAATGTTCAAGAAAGTCATTAATACACAAACTAAACCACAGATGATCTATTATAGACCCGTGAGGTTATACCCTCATTGAAAGCATTTTTGGGGAAAAAATGCTTTCAGAGATTTTGTTCACTATAAGTCTTTTGTTTTGTTTCTTTTCAGTCCTTCTTAATTGTCGGTCCCCGCAGGACGACAACAAATTGCCTCCAGCACCTCGACTGAAGCACCAGGACCTGTTCTGAAGTCATGGGGAATATTTTTGGGAATTTGCTGAAGAGCCTCATAGGAAAGAAGGAGATGAGGATCTTAATGGTGGGGCTGGATGCTGCTGGGAAAACGACAATCCTTTACAAACTGAAACTGGGGGAAATAGTCACCACCATCCCTACAATCGGTGAGCTGAGATAATCACATTAATTGCAACCATCACAGTTCTTCACTGTGTTCACTTTACACGAAGCATGACGTCTCCCCTTTCCTCAGGATTCAATGTGGAGACGGTGGAGTACAAGAACATCAGCTTCACTGTGTGGGACGTGGGCGGACAGGATAAGATCCGGCCCCTCTGGAGGCACTACTTCCAAAACACTCAGGGTGAGCAGAGCTAATCAGCCAGCCGCAGCAAATGTCTGCTTGTTTTCAGAAAACGGTGAGTTCAGTTTGATTTATTGGTACCGTTTCAGGTCTGATCTTTGTGGTGGACAGTAACGACAGAGAACGTGTGAACGAAGCTCGAGAGGAGCTGATGAGGATGCTGGCAGAGGACGAGCTGAGAGATGCAGTTCTCCTTGTGTTTGCAAATAAGCAGGCAAGAAGCCTTTAGTTTTCAATGGATATAAGATTATCGTCTGTTTCATGGTGCTCCACGTATTTATTTTCACAAGTCGCAGTTGGTTTAAACCAGGGGTGCTCAAACTTTTTGAGACCAAGATCTACTTTTTCTCTCACCAGCCGGCTGAGATCTACCTCATGGCATGAAGACATACAAATTATAAATGAAACTCTATTGACTAATTTTCTATGCAAATATGCAGTTATATCAGAAATGATAAAGTGATAGAAAACCTAATGCAGTTTCTTCCTCAGTGAGATTCTGACACTGGGAGCAGGTTACTGGTTTCTCAGTCAGAAGCTGGTTGTAAACCTGAGACCAGCAGGTGTCAGTCAGTTATGGTATATCCGAAATTTGATTTGATGACGTCACCATGCGAAACTGCAGACTGATAGGAGGAACCAAAGAGCTCTGCAGAGGTAAAGGCAAATCTTCTGAATTTGGGATATAATTAATGTAATTTGACATAATTATTGAGGTAGAAGTCATTTGTTTGTTAAAACTTAATCAAATATATGTGTCCTATTTGATGTTGGTTGTGACGTTTACTGCAAACGAATGAGGTCATCAGTCCAAGTTTGTCGTTTATTGAACGTTCAGAAACTCCAGCGGTTGTGATGAACCACAGCGAAGGAAAACAAAGGTAAAATAAAATAACCCGAACAGGTGATCAACTCAGAACCACTCGCACCTTTTTGTTGGGTGTGCTTTATCGTTAAGCACACCTGTTGCCGTGGCAACCGCCTGCGCCCCGCAAGCCGAGCAAAGATTACGTTAAAAACGTTCAGTCCGTTACGATATCAGGTTTCCAGGCTTTATTATTTTTTAATGAAGCTACAAACGTTTTGGATCTTTGTGAATATTTTTGATAAGCCTGTCAGAAGAGGAAGTGCCGCTCTCAGCGTCCTGGAGGTCTTCAGTTTGTCACCTGCTGCAGAGATCGACTCAAAACCTGCCCGCGATCGACCGGTAGATCGTGATCGACGTATCGAGCACCCCTGGTTTAAACTATTAGAGTAAAAGAGCGTTCAGGACACTGTACCAACCTCCATGAGCAAGCAAAAATGTCTGAGATGGATATTAAAATGCAAGATGCATGTTTAAAAATAAACCGAACAGTCCTGCCAGTCATATAGAAAGAATAATTATACACATTTCACAGCTTCAGACGCATGAAATCATTATTACATGCCTTAATTAGAAGCTCTGCAGGGAGCGATGTGTGGGACTTATCCTCAGGAAATAAAAAGCTGTAATATTCAGTCCTGCTTTCTTATTGACAAAGTTTATAAGGGTTGATGTTTCTTTAAAAAACAAAGTAAAAAATGGTTTTGCACACTCACCTGGTCTCCATAGCAATCAATAGAGTCTGTCAACATGCCAGACAAAAGCCTTTTCTGACCACAGTTGTCAGCTCTACTTGAACTTTGACTAGAAAACATGTTTGTTGGTCAAATGAGACTAAAACTAACACTTTTAGTTAGTTTTTCACTCCAGATGGGTTTGGTGTGAAAAAAGGATAAATATTTGGAAATGCACATAATCCCTACTGATAAGCACAGAAAAGGATCTGTGATGATGTGGGCTGTGACTCTTCCAAAGAGAATAAAAACCTTATTAGAGTGCAAAACATTTGAAATACCAGTACCTTTAGGGTACTTTAATACCTGATAATCTGATAATCGGTTTGATTGGGGACCAAATTTGCAACATTTGCTACATTTTGAACTGATGTGATTCACTTTCACACTGCACTGCGTCAAATGAACCAAACCAATTGAAAAACCTGTTCCCCTCCTCACCTGTGGTGGCGCTGCACCAAGAACCACTGAAGGAAACGACACGAGTGCAGCTTCCTTCTTCATGAAATGTAAACAACAATGGTGTGGCATCAGATTTTAGTGACTGTAGGATTTCCTCTTTTTTTGCTTCTAGAGCGCTCTCCGCTAATTCACTGTTTGCTCTAACCTTTGTGAAATGTTGCCAGACAAGATTTATTGATGCCATATTGTAAATCATGGGTTATAAAGCTGATTACCATGCTGTGTGTCAACAATTGCGATACATCAGATTGCATTCTTTTTTTTATTAAATTTAGATTTTTAAAAGATTGTTACATGCTAACCTTCCCCACTTTGTATTGACAGGATTTACCAAACGCCATGAACGCCGCGGAGATCACAGACAAGCTGGGCTTACACTCCCTCCGTCACCGCAACTGGTACATCCAGGCCACATGCGCCACCAGTGGCGACGGCCTCTATGAGGGCCTTGACTGGCTGGCCAATCAGCTCAAGAACAAAAAGTAAGAGGGGGCAAACCTGGAAAACACAACCGGCAAGCCACCCGATCCAGTGTTTTCTTTCCTCTGGGGATGGAGGGTGAGGTTTTGGTGCGAGGGTTTTGACTGGCAGGCGCAAAACAAGACCCTGGTTTTGAGGGAGACTTCATTTTTGCTCCGTGCTCAGTGGTTATTTAAAGAAAAAAAGGTTCATATCTAATCACATACACTGATTCACACTAAACGTAAGCAGTCACAGCAGACACTTGCTTTTGCTCCGTCCACCTCTCGTTCTTTGGTTCGGTGTGCTTTGTGTTAGTCTGTAGGTGCCGTGTCCAGTTTTGGTTTTCCAGCTGTGAGTCATTAATCGTTGTCCCGTCCTGCAGGGTCACAGAGATGTGTTACACAGCCACGTTATCTTTGCGGATTCTGATGGTTTGCTCTCCGTTTTGTAAGCAGTGCTGAACACTTAGTCTCGATGCAGAGGGATTTTTCATCACAAACACTAAAGAAACATTTCTTACCCTGTATTTGGCTTCAAACATAATCCCATATAGTCAGGTCAAGCTCTCTGTCCCTTCTGGAAAAAAAAAGCTTCTCCACAGCATGATGCTGCCACCACCATGTATCATGGAGGGACTGTCAGCTCCCTCCACATGTTAAACAAACAAAATCTTACTGCTGTATTTTGGGAATATTATGATATCCTGTATTTAACTCTATTGATCTCCAATTAACTTTAACCAGCTTCCCAAAGTCCCTGCTGAAGAAAAGCCTCCCCACAGCATGATGCTACCACCTCCATGTTTCATGGTGGAGATGTTAAGCGCCGTGTGTGGAGTTAGTTTTCGTCTGCATCTATCCACACCTGCATGTTGGCTAGATGCAGAACGGCTTCTTCCTCAAGTTTGCTGTGTCTCCTATAGAGGTGGGGGACATGGGATTAGAAATTTATTGCACTGTTTTATGTTACTATTATGACAGTAACGGTGAGAAAAAAAAATTAGGACTTGTTTTTTTTTGTAATTATGGCTGTGACTACATGTCACATCTTTTATGGAATCACAAATACAAATATTGTTCTTGGAAAAACCTTCCCATTTGAATTAGTCTTCTTCGGGATGCCACTGATTTGAAGAACTGTGGTTTTTACATCACCAAACTGCACAGAGCAGCTGCATTTAATCATATTTTCAAAGTTACTGATATTTATTGATTCCCGAAACAAACAATGGAGAAAATTGTGGAAATGATTATTCTGTCAGCTTTGTGGGGTTTTTAAGAACATTAATTGAAACTTATCGGGAGGACAAAAAAAATCAAAATTTGTATTTAAATTTTATCATGAATGATTTGATAAATGCCCACTTACAGTCCTCTATATGCAAAACATAAAAGAGGAGATGGTTTTCTTTCTTCTTGCCACTCTTTTATAAAGATCAGATGATGTAGAGTTCAAAACAGCAGCAGCTCTGTGTCAGTTTTACTTTCTGTTTCCGCTGTTCTGAACTGCAGAACCTGGCTTTACGTTGTAATAGCATTCTGCAGATTCATACCATCATAGCTGGCTCTGATGGTTTCCTTGCAGGGAGCAGAAATAATAACCCAATGAACATCTCTCCCTTCATGCTAAAGACACATCCTCTTACTGCCCCAATATGGACATCTTTTGAGAGCCATACTGTCGTAGTAGTTGCTTGTGGCAACCTGAAGCACTGAAACTGGACATTTTAAATATTTAAACCTGTGCTATACGCTCTCAGTTACCTGACATGGATGCAGCCTTATCAGCAGCCCTTCTCCATTCAGAAATCCATAGATGAGGAGGTTACTTGTAGGTTTTGTCACCACAAAAATTGACTAAAGCTCTGCTATCAACATGAAGTGCCAGCATAAGCTTATGTATTTTTAGGACATATAGAATCATTTTATAGTACAATCAAACAATTATGTTACCTTCAGTTGTTACAAAAATGCTTTATATATCAAACATGACTTAAAGTAAACCCAATTTTCAATTTGGCACCTTGAAATTGGGCAACTGTGTCTTTAAGAAGGTTTCCAACACTAATTAGTTATCACCACAAAGCTCCTTCATCATGCTGTCTAAAATCATTCTTAGGAGCGCTAGACTGAAAAGTAGATCACACAGTGAACTCAGCAGACACGCAGTTCCACCAGGTGTTTGCTAAATGTTGCTGCCGCTAGTCTGCAGGAGCTCAATGGGGGAGTTGTAGAGGAGGGCTGCTGTGTGAGGTCGGAGCTTGGCTCCAAGGACAAGCTTTGTGGGAAAGATGACGTTCTGTGAGAACCAGTGTTTTGCACAGCTGAATGGTTGCTACAGAAGTTTAAAGAATTTCTCGAACGTGCATGAAAGAATCAAATCAACTCTCTAGGTATGTTTTTGATGAGGGAATGACATTATAATATATCATGAAGTTAAAAAATGTCACACTATCACCCCTTTAAAGTGAGACACAGCTGCTTGTCCTCCTAATGCGTCTAAATCAGCTCTCAAATAGGACCATCTTGTGTTTTCTGTTTTTGTTTTCCCCGTTGATTCTGTCACTTATGGCTCAACTGCTGAATGTGAATATTGTGAAGGTATCTTCACCCGGCTGTAATTATAGGTAGTTAATGTTCTATTTGCATATCTATTGAAAGGAGAGACAACACGTCTCCACCTTTGTCTCTGACTGATGACGTCACGGCTGAAACCAGCAGAATCCACAGATTTTTAATGTCTTGCAAAAGTATTCACCTCTGCATTCTGCCACATTGCAACAAATATACTTTAATGTTTGTAACTGGACTTTTAGGTGATCAACACAAAAGGAATTGTATAGGTGTGACGTGGTTTAAATTATTACCTTGTACTCCATTCCATTATTTTAACAACTTTGACAAGTTGGCTTGTCTTTTATGAAATAATATGGCCCACAGCATGATGCTGCCACTACCATGTTTCAAAGAGGGAGTTGTTGTGTGCAGTATTTGTTTTCTGACACATTTAGTGTTTTGCTTGTTAAGTTTTAAGCTCATCTGATAGGATCAGACTTTGAAGACAAATTTCCTTCCAATTCGCTGTGATGCATCTCTTTGCGTTGCTCTATCTCACCATATCCTGACAAAATGCATTGAAGTTTCTGATTGTCAAAATGACCAAACACCAACAGTTAACGTTGAAAGCCGGATGATTACTTTTGCAAGGTGCTAAATGTCAATAAGATGTTTCCCCTGTGCCATACTCAATCACATACTATCAGCAGTGTCACCTACTGTACATCCTCTGGCATCTTTTCAGTACTTTTCTCCTATGGAACGTGTTATACGGTAATGGATCGATTCATTTTGGGGGTTCATGTGGCCTTATAGTTACATTTTTAATTTGACTTGCACATATTTATCTATTTCAAGACAAGCAACCTGCAGTTTATGAATCAGCGCCCTCAAAAGCCAGATTTTGCACTGCTCTTCACATTGACAAGGCAAACATTTCCTCACAAGGCGTTCTCTTTGTTTTACTGGATTCATGTTCGGTGGTTGGACTTCTTCTTTGGCTTTCTTTGGAGTTTAAATAAACTTTCACGTAGACGGTGTCTGTAAAACAATGGTAATTAGTGTGGAAAAGAATATTTCCCTTCATTCATTCTTTACCATTATAGTTGCACAAGTAGATTTCAAAAAATTGTTCCAGTGCTGAATGCATGGAGACATCTGTATGTGATGTAAGACAAGATCCTGCTGTATTAAAAAAATAAACTCATTTATTGTACACCCCGTCTCCTCTGCTTAGTGTGGTTGTTCCTGAAGCACTGTAACAAAAAAAAACAAAACTTGACAGTACATCTTAATATCAGAAATACATTGAAATAACTTGTATTTCTATCATTTAATTAAACTCGAAATAGTTTTTTTTAAAAGTAATACTTCAATTGTTTTAAGGGCAGCACAAGTTTTGGGGAATTTTAAGTAAAAATAAATAATTAAACTTTGTTCCATTGACTCATTTCTGTTCAAGTTGACTTTATATCTAAATTGAAAGCCCAATTGAGCCTATTGATATTTTTTCATGCATTATTGTCACTATCTTTTGTTTATAAATCAAAATGTGGTGAACAAGTAAAATAAATACAAGGCAATTCAAATATTTTTTTTATAATTCCTACAGAAACAAGCAGAAAAAACAATAGACTACCTTAATGTGTTGGTTTGTTACTGCACTTTGAAATAAAACATTCAGTTAACGAAAAGATTTCAAATGAACATGATTTAATTTGTTGTTTCTACTTATATTTTTAACAAGTGGCATGAACTTTTAGATTAAAAAATGCCCCATTTAGGGATTCTGCTGCATCTTCAAAAGTTTTAATTTGATCAAAGTTTTGGGCCTTAAAATGTCAGGAGTGTTTGTTACATCATAATTTTCACTTAGTTACAACTTTAATGTGAATTTTGCTGTCACACTGTAATAAAGCACAAACAGCAATGATGCATGGCATCAAACAGCCCAGAGTGAAATCTGCTCCTGCAGTTGATGTCTTGTTTTAAATTACTTGTTTCTTTTTTCGTGTGGATCTTAAAAGTTAGGAACATTTTGAAATCAATTGAACTTTGCAGCCATGCTGGATCAAATCATTTTCTCCACTTCATAGAGTCAGGAACATCTGGGAACACGAGTCCTGTGCTGTGCAGACATCCTGAGGCCATTCACGTTTTCTGCCTTTTGTCCAAGGAGGTACAGTTTTGGTCACAGGTTTGCACCAAAACATTGCCAAAGAGTGGAAAAATCCTGCTCCAAAAACAACTTTGTCAAAACCAAGGATTAATTTGGTGATGAACAACACTTTTACATAGAGGATGATGAGGAACCTGGTCAAAGGTTGAGTGACTCAGGGATTAAAACACAAACATGACGGTTCCATGCCAAGGACTCCTCCCTTAATCCCACGTTAAACCTGTCTGTGTCTTTTCATAAACTAGACTTGCTTCTCCTTTGCAGCTATGTTTGTTATTGAGGAACTACTGCCAAAATAATTGAACCACCCTGCAGCAGTCACATTTTTAAAGAATATAGTTTAAAGCCTCTGGGACATGATCGCACGTTCACTTGTAAATGATGAGCTGCTGCAATGTTTGACCAGAAGGGGGCGACAATATTCCGCCTGAAGGATGTCCTGCACTACGTGCTTCAATGTCTCTGGATTTTAAGGATTAAAAAAACATTGACATCATCATAAACAACTCGAACGCATTAAGGTAAACCGCAAAATCGATTTCTAAATTACAGTCGCACCGTTTTATCACATCTTATCAGTTTCCTTTAGTGCTACAAATAAAATAGAGTACATTTTTGTTTGTTTTTTATTTCAGAACACTATAAATATCAGCCTCTGCATTATTAACGAGTTTGTTTGCATCAGATCACGTTGCCCTGATTACATGTAGTAAAGAGAACATTTCAAATCTATTGTCACTATAAGAGATTAAAAAAAAAACTGAAGAAAAACAAGTTTGGACTAAATTACTGAGTATCATAGTGTTTCTAATTGCAAATCTGTGTCATGTTGATCAAATGAACTATAACTGCCAAAATATATTTGCTGACCCCTCCAGGTCTTTGGGTCAATTTGTTTCACTTGCTGCTGTGGCTGCAGGTGAAACAGGTGTAAAAACTAAATATCCTTCAGTCAGCTGTTAGCAGTTTTAGATGAAGTGGAAGTGATTGCAGTGAAAACAGATTAGTACTGTGAAGAGCTCACACATTTTCAGCAGACCTCCAAACCCCATGTGGCCTTCATGGGGTTTGCAACTTGTTTTTTCAGGAACAAGTTGCAAAGAACTTTATGGGTTTCCGTGACTGACCAGCTGCATCCAATCCTTACATCACCTCGTGCAATGCAAAGAATCAGATGCAGCAGTAAAGTGTGCAGCCACAGGACTGCAGAGCTGTGGAGATATATCCTCTGAAACTCCAGGTTGCACAATGTCTCCTTGGCTCCAGTGAAAGGAACTCTTAGTTCTTCTTTGTTCCCACAACGTTTGGAAATTTTAGACAATTTCCCAACGAAGAATTTTGCAGAGATATTTACACCTTGAACATATTAATCCTGATAAAGCCAAGAAGTCGAAACACTTTGGACCATCAATAAAGTTAAAGAGCTGCTGGAGTTTTTACCTCAACACACCTTGAACATTCCCATATCTTTTCCCAAGACATTTATAGTCCTACAGATCTCTGGTTGCACTTGTTTTTTATGGGTTTATGATGTTTTTTTCACACAAAAAAAATCTGAAAAATGTGTTGAACATCTATTCTCAAACTTCTTGTGTCCATCAGTTTTTAATATAATTAGTAGGTAAATTTGGGGACAATTTCCCAACATTGTGGGAACAGTTTGGGGATGTGACCTTCCTTTTCCAAAACATCTGAGCACTATTTATTCACATGGATGTGCGAATTTACTGACTGACTTGCACTTGACCAGCTTGACCGAACACTTTTGAGGAGAACGCAGACTCAGAGTCTGCAACATTTTCTCATCCAACTAAACAAACAGACTTATAAAAAAAGGAAAGAAAAAAAAAACTACAAACACATGTATCTAAACCTTGTGGAAAGCCTGACACAGCTGCATAGTGTGGACTGACTCCATAATAAACCAGACGGAGTGAGACGGGGTGAAATAAGTCAATGGGGTTTTACGTCTTTGAACAGGAAATTACCTCAGACAAAGCCAACACAGAAATATAATTAGCTTTCACAACATGTTTTGAACCAGCAACAATGAGGACACCTTACAGCACAACAAGCTTTTTATAGCACTTTAAATAATCTTAAACAATTTGTTCTTTTGATTAAAACACATTTTCTCTAGGTCCTTTTTCAGTATCGGGTCACTTTCTTTGACTTTTTCACATTATAAACCTTTGGAGAGTGCCGAATTTGTATCTGACAGATTTGATTTGTGTTCAAATATTTTTTTTCTTGCAGTAATCTGCAGGAATAAGAAGCAGTTTTATATTTTATAATCCCTTCCTGTAACTAGTGAAATATTAACTTTTGTCTTGTACAACCGTTTTACCTCCTTACAGGAAAGTAATACAAAGGTTTGTTTTTTTCCCTCTACATTTTCGATGTTGTTGGATGGAGCAACTCAAGATGTTTGTGTTCCTGAGAGAGACTGGCGGTGCAAGCAGAACCAGTTACCGCAGAGCGGTTTGGCCCGCTTGTCCACTCCTTGGGTTGTTGTTGTTGTTTTTTTTACTAAGGTTCTTTTGTTTTTCAACCAAAGCAAGATAGCTTATCTCAACCAGGAAGTGATGTTTCTTACAAGCAAATTAAACAATCTGCTGCTGTTGTTTTGCACAAACCATGGTCCTAAGTCCAGTAGTGAATCGGGGCAGCAGCAATGCTGTGATGCAGCAGTGACGTGATCTTACACCTCAAGAACTTCAGCAGAAAGGAGTGGCAGGGGTCAAAGTCTCTGTGGGAGGCCAAAGAGGAGATTCGTGCCAGCAAACAATGAGTAACAGATAAAGAGGAGCATTAAAAGTGATCTTCGTCGCTGCTGTTGTTATTTGTTGCAGTGGACAGGACGAATGTCTTTAGGTGACGAGTGAGCCGCTGACTCACCCTGTCTGATTGAGATGATAAAACTCATTTTACATGAAGGAACAAGAAGAAAAACAAGAGATCACAACAACTTTGACTGACACTTTACAAGGAGCAAGGATTTTAGTTTTGATTTTTCAGCTCAGTTTCATAGTCAGAATTATTGTTTTATTAGTGTGAAAAAATATGAAACTATAACAAATACTGTTTCAAATACAAGCCTCATAAAGACAAAAGATTTAAAAAAAAAGATTTAGATCACTTCGTGCTGCAGTGTGAATGTAGTCTCTTTCTCTTTTGGAAGCAATATATAATGAGCAGTTTTTATCATAGCTATTTCCACGGAAATAATAAAATTTTTATGTGTAATTCTGACATATATAATAATATATTTTGCTAATTTACCATGCAACACCTGTACAGTCTCACTTTGACGCTCTGCACTCCTGATTTACTGATTCCATTTATTGTCTTTTGTCCATCTATCTCAATCAACTTAAAGTACAAAACATGAATAAGACCTTTGATTGCTAAAATCAACACATCTTCTCCCCTTTGTTAAAATATTATGAGTCTGGTTGTGACACCAGCGGTTCTGCAACTCAGTCTGATTGGGAGAGAGCATCAAATTTCAGTTTCTGTCACGGATTATCCATTAGATTTGCAGTTGAGGACAAAATTATAGGATTTTACTTTACAATCCTCCTCAAAAATCTATAATTACCTGAGCAGAAGTGCCTCCTGATGCTATTTATTTTATTTTATTTTAACTTATTTTATTTTTATTTTATACTGGTTTCCCCTTCTGCAAATCTCTCACTCTCTTTCACATTTCGGTGTTTTATCTTCAGTCCATGAGATTCAACTTGTCATTTTGTGCTGGTGTTCACTTTGGACTACTGGAGGTAAAGCAACTGGAAGCGACCCACCCTAGCAAAGAATCCAATAGGTCAAAGGTTAAATACTGGCTTCTACTTCACTAATGCAACCTATCAACCTGTATGCCAGGTGAAACCCTGTTTCATAAACTCAATCACTCTATCATTATTTTTTATTTGTTCTGACACATTTAGGCAATCAGCTTCTTTTTGAAAAAATGTAAAAATTACTTGTGAAGAAATTTACTGTATGAATACAAATTTTACCCGATTTACACAATA